AAAAGTTAACATACATCACGATGCATATATCATGTTAATGCAGAGGTAATTTGCATAATTAAAGAGGAAATTTACCTTTACATATCAAGCCCATATTTCATGGAGGTATGAGGTCTCGGAATTCTTGTTTTTTTAAGTTTTATTATTATTGTTATGAAGCCTGTTTTATCATTATTACTTATAAGCTGCTAAACATTGATGGAACCTAACCAGCTTCTGGAACCTTGCTCCTCTTACAATAGCTGGCCAGGCACTATTAGATATTAATATTTAATTCTTTCTAAGAAAAATGTTGTTTCCTACTTATTTAAAAGTAAATTGTACAATTTCATTGAACTACTGCAGAAACTATCAGGCACTTTTAAATATTGATAAAGAGATAAATATCAGCTTCTTTATACCAGCTTCTGGCACATACTCGTCTTACCATAGCTGGACAGGCACAATCAAATATAATTTTTTTCTTAGAACAATATTGTTTCCCACCCAGAATGCATATGTAAAGATGAATACTGATACTTTCATATTATGAATATATCACTGAGACGTTATTCATGCTTGCTCCCATGGATATCAGCTGTGATGCCAAGGAGTGGTGCTGTATAGAAGTTTTTATTTATTTATTTATTCAGATTGCAACATAACAATACAAAGTGTGCACTAGGCAGCAAATATGCTGATAGCGTGCATACCCAACACATACCTGGACAATTACATTATAACATAAACAACAATAAATATTTAAAACACGATATATACACAAATTACATTATCTTAATAAATTACACCTGCAATTAAAATCAATTTTATAACTGTACAGCAATTGAAATGTTTAGTGTGGCTCGGCTGGAAGAGCCACAGCATCTTTTTGATTCGGCAATGAACGTGTGGAGTGCATCTGTGAGTTTTGTATTTATGTCAAAGTTATGAGTTGGAGACCCCTGGAGCAGGACAGATGTGGTATGGAAGTTTGAAAGTCTAATTTAAAAGTAACTTACACAATTTCCTTGCACTACTGCAGAAACTATCAGGTACTTTTAAATATTGATAAATAGACAAATATAAGACGATATTAGTAATTAAACAGCCTTCATACCAGCTTCACATTGCTCCTTTTACAACAGCTGGCCAGACACTGTCAGCTATTAATAATCACTATATTTAAGAACACGTGTCGGGCCCACCTGCTCACACAGCAGAAGCACCAGTTGACCCGGAGACGTGGCCCCAGATACGAGAACATTCTGGCGGCTAGAAAACGCATGAACTGTATCTAGTGCTAAATGGACTGATATACTAGTATTCTAATCTATGCTGTTTTAGTACCCTTATACTTATCTTTATATACTATCTTATACTAGGTTTAAATGTGTGTCTTGTTTGTGTGCTTGTGATTGTTTTGTGTGTGGGCCACAACACCAGCCCCCGCTGCCTGTGGCCCACGAGTATTGTACTTGCTTGCAATCCTAATAAATCAATCAAAAGTTTCTCAGAAAAATACTGTTTCCCACCCACTCATGACGCATATGTGTAAAAACAAATACTCATACCGGCAAAAGTAAAGTAATACTGTAATGGGCAGTGATGATGATCACCAGTATGAAGATGTCGACAATATACGTGGTAGGACAGGGCAGGGTCAGTCCAAAGCAATCACTGAATCCAACACAAACACAACTGCTACTGTAATGACCAGTGGTGATGATCACCAGTATGAAGATATTGACAAACATGATGTTAAGAGAGGGCAGGGCCAGTCTAAAGCTATCACCGAACCCAACACAAACACAACAGCTACTGTAGTGACACGTGGTCATGATAAAACAGGGCAGGGTCAGTCTCAGACCAACACTGAACCCAACACAAACACCACAGCTACTGTAATGTCCAGTCGTGATAATCCAACAGGGCAGGGTCAGTCTCAGACCAACACTGAACCCTTAGATGCTAGAAATTCATCGTATGGCACAAGGCCGACTGTTTCTCAGTTGAATTCTCTGTACAAAGGTACTACTGTAAAGCCCAGTTGTCATGATCAGACAGGACAGGGTCGGTCTCAGGCCAACACTGACTCCTTTGATTCTAGAAATTTAACTTATGGCACTAGACAGACTTCCTCGCAGCTTAGTTCTCTGTACAAAACTACTAGTATAATGGCTTGTGGTCATGATCACACAGATGGGGGCCAGTCTCAGGCCAACAGTGAATCCAACACAAACACCACAGCTACTGTAATGGCCAGTGGTCATGATCAGACAAGGCAGGGTCAGTCTCAGGCCATCACTGAATCCAACACAAACACAACAGCTACTGTAATGGCCAGTGGTCATGATCAGACAGGGCAGGCTCAGTCTCGGGCCATTACTGAATGCAACACAAACACCACAGCTACTGTAATGGCCAGTGACCATTATTACCAGTATTAAGATATTGAAAACAATTTCGGTAAGACAGGACTGGATCAGTCTCAGGCCATCACTGAATCCATTACAAACACCACAGCTACTGTAATGACCAGTGGTGATGATCAGACAGGGCAGAGTCAGTCTCAGGCCATCACTGAATCCATTACAAACACCACAGCTACTGTAATGACCAGTGGTGATGATCAGACAGGGCAGAGTCAGTCTCAGGCCATCACCGAATCCATTACAAACACCACAGCTACTGTAATGACCAGTGGTGATGATCAGACGGGGCAGAGTCAGTCTCAGACCATCACTGAATCCAACACAAACACCACAACTACTGTAATGACCAGTGGTGATGATCAGACAGAGCAGGGTCAGTCTCAGGCCAACACTGAATCCAACACAAACACCACAGCTACTGTAATGACCAGTGGTCATGGTCAGGCAGGGCAGAGTCAGTCTCAGACCACCACTGAATCCATTACAAACACCACAGCTACTGTAATGACCAGTGGTCATGGTCAGGCAGGGCAGAGTCAGTCTCAGACCACCACTGAATCCATTACAAACACCACAGCTACTGTAATGACCAGTGGTGATGATCAGACAGGGCAGGGTCAGTCTCAGGCCAACACTGAATCCAACACAAACACCAAAGCGACTGTAATATCCAGTGGTGATGATCAGGCAGGGCAGGGTCAGTCTCAGGCCCAATCTCCAACAGTTGCAAATTTGTCACATACTGAAGTGCTAGCTGCCTTAAAGCCAAATCCCATGTATGTAGATGTGAAAACACCACAAAAGGACACAACATCTGCCGAAATGGCCACTAGTCCTGATTGGCCAGGACAGAAACAGTCTCAATATTTAAACGTTTAAACTCTTAAAGAGTCTCTAACATTTAAACTCTTAAAGTGGGGGATTATTCAAATAACTAAGTTCCAGCTTCTTTAAAGCTAAACCTTTTGTTCTTTGTAGATGTTACAGCACCACTTAATTAAGACCCAGCATCTTCATTTAATGACAAGTGACCCATGGTTACGCAGACTATAGCCAATCTAAGACCACTGTAGAATCACTGGGCACATTAAACTTGACAATAGAACGTTATACTAAAAGAAGTGGATTAAATCAGGTATCGTAAAAATTCAAGATGTTTTCCTACAAGGCAAGTTTATTACTGCACAGAATTTGTTAGTGAAGTTAAATGACACCAGGAACTTTCTGGCAGAACATAATAATCTTTGTATTGCTATCCCAAAACATTGGAAAATGTCTTTGAGTGTGATGAGTCAATAATGGGGAACAACAGTGTTTGGGAACTCAGCAACTTGGAATTTTTAATACTATTTTTGTCCTTTAGTAGAAATTGACATCCAAGATATTATGCAATAAGATAAAAGCAAAAGAAACAAGACAAAGTAAATGTATTGATGACTGGAGTGAAACACTTGATGTTACAAATTTGGATAAGAAATTGTTATTGAAAAATTTAGTAGTAAATATTAAAGAAAACAAATTGAAAGAGTTCAATTTCAAGCTTTTGCATAATATTCTTCCATGTAAAGTGAAACGGAACAAATGGCAAATTAGGAATCAAGCAGGTGAAGTATATAGTCCTATGTGCACACTATGTAATGTTAAGGAAACCTACATGCATATGTTTGTAAATTGCAAATTGCAAAGGCTGGTTAAGTACTGGAAAAAAGTTGAAAATAGATTGAATTACCATGGCACTAGAATTAAGATAAACAAATTGTCCATATTTTTGGGAGTGGATCAAAATTTGGAAGTCTTCGATACAAATATCACTCTGGCGATCACTGTAGCAAAACTTGTCATTTACAAAACCTAGATGGATTTCAAGGATAAGGATAGCATTCAATAAAACCTATGGTATTACTTTGAAACCGAGATGTACCTTAGACATCTGTAACACTGTTTAGTGCGTTGTATGTTATGTATGTGTGTATATTTTGTATATTTTGTATATATTTTGTCTCTTGGTCAATTAAGTTTTGAAAAAAAAGAATCACTGGGCACTGAAAGTAAATCTTATTACTTACAATTATATTAAATCAAAGATCTTACAAATGGTATAATTGGTGTATATACGTAGGTGAAATGAACTCTTGAAGAGAAAGCTCTTAATTTACGACTTGAAGTAATTACCTTATCTCTAACAAAGACACACTTTCGTGCAAATTGGGACTTGTAACAATCTCTAGCTAGAAAAACGCTTGCAATTTGTAGGCCCAAGTATTCAGGATGGTAGAATGAGCAATAATGTACTTATCAGCACTCAATAAGTAGTTGGTTGGTTGGTTGGTCGTTGGTTGGTTGGTTGGTCGTTGGTTGGTTGGTTGGTTGGTCGTTGGTTGGTTGGTCGTTGGTTGGTTGGTTGGTTAGTTGGTTGGTTGGTTGGTTGTACAAACTTGCAGAGAATTTGTTGTTGTAGTAGTGGGTGAAGAGGTCACTGGACAAAACTTGAAGAATCACTTTAATTCTATCCTAAATGTTAAATTTCATTCACATGAAGAGAAATGTTAAGCATTGTAAAGTTTTAAAAGTCGCTGTTGTTGTTGCTTGAGGGCTTACAATTTCTGTGTATATCTTTAAAGGTTCAGTGGCTTATTTTCATAAGAGTTGTACGCAAGTTCAGATGTTAGATTTGAACAATACACATTGTGTAGTAGCAGAAACCGTCATTGCACGCGGGCGATTAAAGAATGCTGCTGAATCACAGGAATACAACGCTGATATTGTGAATTTGTATGTAGTAGCACACGGTAGCTTTTAAAAATGTTTTTTTTTATTGTCCAAACAGTACCCGTGCAGTCGCAGCCTTTATACGGCTGAATTGATGCAGGGTATTACATAATAAACAACACAAATCACAACAATCAAATAAAAATACACCCAATAGTTTTTTTTACCAGTAGTTTCTTAGTAGTTATCAATAGTTCTATATGTACAAATTGCCTGTTTTTATACCATATTTCTTCTGTTTCTGCAATTAGCCCTCGGGCAAGAATTTGCAATCAACAATTATTTAATAAAAAAAAACACATATTTGTTTCACAATTTTTTTTGTGTGTGGAACTGTCGCAAAAGTCTGTGCGGCTGCCAGGTGACCTCAATACGACTTTCCCCAACCGAAGTTAGGTACCCATTCACACCTGGGTGGAGTGAGGAAATTCGTGTAAAGTGCCTTTCCCAAGGGCACAACGTCAGGGCGCATGTTCAGACATGTCCCGGGTACGACCCGGAATCGAACCCGAGTCTTCCCGCTTCATAGTCAAATGTTCTACACTACACCACCCGACGCCACT